TGTGTTTGATTGGTCCAGACGCTACAATGTTCATATTTTTTATTAAGGCTAAGTTGAGTTCGCTCACTTAGACGGAGTCTTCCTGTTGTCGTCTTTACTAAACAACTCTTTAAGCATTCTTCAGATTGTGCAGAATCTATTTACAGTGCATATTTGAGATATCTTCTGCTTCAGACTTTTGTTACATCCAAATATTGTGAACTTTTCACCCTATGTGCTGTGAAAGTCAGAAAAGTTGTCAGAAAATGTGTTCCCTGTAAATTATTCATCGCTTTGAATGTATCACATTCGAACTTGAGCACCGCAAATGCATTTATGGAGGTTTGTCTGTCATTTTCCACCATGCAACAAAAATAGTGGCAGTGTCATCTCAGCTCTTATAATCTCACCTCATCATGGATGTTCCATATGCATATTGACAATGAAAGGTTACATATGATTATTATTCAACTGGGTCTATAAAGAAGTCTATACAGATGGCGCATGCTATAAAATATGTCCGTTACGCTCCTCATCAAGGCGATGTTTATGGCAGGCGGCTTGCAAAGCAGAAGGTCAGGCATAATGAAAGTATTAAGCTCATGCATTCAAACATGAGCAAACTTTGAAACTCTGAACAAAGAGAAGTAGTAGTATTTCATCTGTAAACTCACTAGGCATTAACAGGAGAATTTACCTAAAAATTTACATTATTCCTTGTGATGTTCACAGGACTCTGTGGAACACAAAGTTCTAGTCGCTCTTTTCCCTGCAGTTTCAATGAATGGCAACTGGGTTCAGGGTTCAAAGTCATATATTACAAAACACGCAATGGCTTTATGTTAAGAAATTATCCATATTCACTGATATTTTCCCTTCCAGTGAGCTGTTAACAGTAGCAACCTGACAATGTATTCAGTGAGACTCAATGGAGGCTGAATCAGTTGAATTAAATAATCAGATCAGACAGATTCATGAACAAATCATTAAGATTTGTTGAAAAGATCTGACTCAAAATGAGCATTTCACGAAACGAAGAACACTGATTCTCTCATGAACTCTTGTGAACATGACTATATGAATGAGAATTAGGATGGAAGTCAACATTTTGAGTGAAAAACCACTTTAGTCATTTACTGCATGATTTCAGAAGACTTGAAATTAAGTTGATAAGTCATATGTACTACTTTTAAGATACTTTATGCTGCTTTTACATTGGCCTGGAAGCTTAAAAGCCTCAGCCTCCATTTATTGTAATTGCATGGAAAAGTCTTTATTTTGTGTTCCACTAAAGAAAGAAGTTCACATGGGTTTATGGCGTCAATGATGGCTTTCTTTTTTTGGGGCCAACTGTTACTTTTTTAATGGAAGACTCGAGGAGTACATGCTGAGGATTTCATGCTTTAAGGCTTGTTTAATCATTCTGTTTCTCTCTCTCTCTTTTTCCCTTCATCCATGTTCCTTCATCTCTCCTCTCCATTTCATGCTCTCAGAGGCGGCAACGAAAAACAAAGTGAAAGGTGAGTTATCTTCTCTGTCTTTGCAGCTGGATGATTTATGTTGAACACAACTCCCAATAAACAATGTGCCATTCGGCCC